TTTCAGCCGCCTTGTCCCCACGTTGGCTGGCTTGTCCCTGCGTGTTCCCGGCCCGGGGTGCAGCAGCACACAGGGGCCAGCACAGACTATGTGGCTCAGATTTATGAGCCGCGTTGCATGGGTACAAAAGGGTCCAAGATGCACATTTTGCGAAACAGTGCTGCAGAAATAATGATCTCATTTCTGCCTTCTATAAATAAATGAAGGTGAAAGGGCATATTTCCTACTCTCAGCCCTCCAGAGGCTGGATTAGGGCTGAAAGCTGTCTGGCTTATGGTAATGGATCTTAAATTATAACTTCACTGTCACTGGCATCTAAAAGATCATGCTGCAAAATACAACACTGAGGAATTGTAATATTAATTATGTTGTCGTTTATGGTCTGTATTGTTTTTCTGGCTGTTGAGGTTGCCAAGGGGGAAGTGGTCTCCAAGGGAAGTGACTTAACTTGTGTGTTTGGGGTTTTTTTTCTTACACAGCTGGTGGTGTGAGTCAGGGTTTCTGGGGGCCCCATCTCAGCCTGGGAGGCCCATCAAAGCCCCTTGTTTCTGCAGTGCGATCTTAAAATTGGTTGATGTTTCTTCTCCCTTAGTTCTTCCAACAAAAAAAAAATAAAGTATGCCTAAACGTGCTGCTTAGCTTTCAGCTGTTTGGAGTTTTAAATCTGTTGTTGGTCAGACATGGGCTGCTCTGGGTGCAAGGAGTGCCGCGCACAGGCACCAACCTGGCTTTGCAGCCCAGTCCCATGCAACCTTTGTGCTTGAATTTTGCACATCTGGTCAGTGAGCACACATGTGTGATTCCTGCGTTGTAAAAACCCTCCCTGGCCTTGCACGGGGCTGCCCAGCACATTAGCTGCTGCTCTCTCCTTCCCAGCTGAGCCTCTCCACCTTGTGAAGGCTTTTGTGCCCCAGCCCCCAGTGTGCCCCTCCAGGCACTCCCCACCAGCTCTTGCCCAGTCAGAGAGAGTGGCTTTGCAAAAGATGCTGATCCTGGTGAAAAGCCTCCTGTCTCCCTGGGTAACAAGCAGCTGAGCTGCTTTCACATTTGTGGGATTGCTTTTTTTTTGTTGGTTTCTTTTGAGCTAAATGCGTTTTTTGATCCCTCACTCTGGGATGTGCTGCTGCTGCATCTTACTTGCACCTTGGGGAAAAAAAATAGATACATACACCTGAGTTGCCCCACTGGGTATTATCCAGTCTCCCTGGTGTGACCCATCAAGCTTGAAAGAGGAAAAAATACCGATGAGGATTCAAACCTTGCTCACATTAATTTGATGTCCCTTTGACCGCTGGCCCTGGAGACTGTCATCAACATGCTGTCCTCTGTAACAACCTGCAGCCACCTCCTGCCTCTTGGCCGCTCTGTTTGCAGGTGATGTGACTCCTGCTTGGATTTGGCACAGGGGAGGGAAGCAGGAGATGTGGAGCCTCCCCTTAGCATCTGCCTGGGGTCCATCCCGTTACCTGGGGTGTCTTGTTTGGGGGTTCCTCTCAGGCACGACGCAGGCCGTGCGGTTGTTAGTGCCTGTGACTGGGCTGCTGGCTCGGGAACTGGTGCTCCTGTTTTGGCATCCTGTGCCCCACCAGATGTGCAGCCCACTTGGCCCTATCGCTGCCGTGATCACACGGCATTTATCGAACTTGCCTAATTAATGTTTGCAAGTTAGTTTATGAGTTACTTGGAGCAGAAGCAATGCTTGGGGCCATTTGCTATGGGTTTTGGTCACAGGGCACCTCCGAGTGATGGATGAGCTGTGATCTGAAGACTTACAGCTGTTACTGGGGGCTTGCTTTTATTTTTAATCCCATGATGTCTCTTCTCTCTATCTGATAGCAAAGGACCATGCTGGGGGCTGGGGTTATGCTGCCCACACTCGTCCCTGGTACTGGAGCAGGAGGTGGGGCA